TTTTACCCAAGATGTTTCCACAGCTACTTTTCTATCCACTGCTGAAATGCTGTTTCGTAACTTCTTGCAAAGTAGTCTCCAGCGATTTGCGAACTCACATTCCTTCACTTTTTTTTAGCTAAGCAGTACTGCAAGAACATTGTTTTGACCCTTCCTGAGCAGTGAAATACTGTTATTGTCACGAAACTGCTAAAATAAGACATAGTCTCTTTCTACACAGGTACTAATAATTCTGTGTGTGAAGTGCAGACCAAAGGATAAAACACTGTAGAGAGGAGGATAACAGGCAAATCTTGACTCAAAAAGTGTTGTGGCGTACTGTGAATAGGTTTCAAGTACTAGCCCCTGGCTTATTGTAAGAATTTAAGAGCTAGAATGATTTCAAAAAGCAAGTATGGGTCAAGGTCCTGAATCAACTATTCCACACTGAATTTAATGTACTCAAAGGCAGATATTGACATGAGTAAAACTGCAGCAAAGTATTCTTTTTTGCTAAAGGCTGCTCTACCAGTCCCAGAAGATGATGAAATACTGTAGAAGCAGCAATACACAAACATTATTTTTCTCTTTATTGCTAGTGCAATAACAAATCATGCTCCACAAAACAGAATATTCCCTCCTTTGTAAGACATTCCTTTCTCCCTTCCAACCTCTCTCTGGAAACAGAGAAAAAAAAAAAGGAGAAAAAACCAAAAAGCAAAAGCAGTGAATTTGTGACTCTAGAGTTGACAAGAGGATCCCCACCGATTTTATGCCCATAGGAAACATGTAAGAGTGACAACAGCATTGCCTCATGTCTTGCCACGAATGAGTGTCTGCCTCTGGTGAAAAGCACAGCCCAAGTGTCTGGGGACCTTATCTGAAAGCCATGAGTGGGCCACCAGGGATCTCAGTGCCACACCTCCTTTCTGCTGACCAAGTCTTGCCCAAGGGATTAGAAGCACAAGCAGTTTGGCACATGGGCATCTCTATGCCAGGAGCTGACTTGATTTACAGTCACACAATAACCACTGCACCATGGTCATCACCTGTCTGGAGTATAGGTGATGGGACATTTCAGCTGTTACAAGGTACTGACAACCTCCAGAAAGTTTATCTAAATGTGCATTAATAGCTCCTACAAATATATGCATTAGAGCAAAAAAAATAGTGAAATAAATGGCTGTTTCCATTCTTCAGAAAAATGCAACCAAGCTAAAAACAGAGAAAACCAAATAAAATTTCTTTAAAATACTTCACATGCATAAATATGATTGTTTTTCCTATCAGAGGTTCCTCCAAATAAATACAAAGTCAAACACATGTAATATATCAGATAAGTTAAATGTTATACCTATTTTAATGTTATTTTAAAGAGCATCCTTGTAATTCCTTTACTGCAAATAATTTTTCCTAGAACTTCATGTTTTATGTAAAGTATTATGATGTCAAAAATTCTTTAGGAAAAATAATACTCAGAAAAAGAACAAAGGTAGTGAAATTACAAAAGGATCCTGGTGGCAGTGAGGAGATTAATGACTTTTTATTGGTTTGTTCACCTCTAGAGGTAGCAGAGATTATGAGTGTCAGGTTCTGTGCAAGAACAATATGGAAACTTGTGAGATCCAAATGCTATATTGCTTCTTTTTTAAAGACAGTTTTCACTAGAATTAACAAGGTTCACAGTATGAAATTATTTTATTTATGTTGGGGTTATTAGATACATTTTAAAAGCCAAAACTTGAAAAATAAAGGGGAAAATCTAAATTATATATGGGAAATGTGAGCTCATATAATAAAAGGACAGCAGAGGCTATACAATTTTTCTGAATGGCAGTTTGTTCCATAATTGTGAAGGGATTCTGGCACCTTTTCCTTGAAGCTTTTGTTATCATTATGGATGGGATACTCTGTCAGAAGAATTTGTCTTCTTTGATCTTGTAATTTCTGTGTTCCTAAACTGCTCTACATCAGCAGAGGCTGGTGATCTGTTGTTTGATCCATAGTCACTGCTGAAATACCAAGATGCATAACTGCAGCACGATTTTCCTTTCAACTGTGACATTAATTAAAAAAAACTAAAGAAAAAAATAGGATCAACTGGTAATAAGGAGTTATAAATACTACTAAAACTGAGTGGCAAAGTCAGTGTTAGACATAGCAGTACCAAAGCTCCAACACTACATGAAAACAATTCCTTCAGTACCAGTAATCTTTCTCTGTTTTAGAATAAAACCTAAAAGTGCATTTGATTAAAGCAAATATAAACAGAATTCAGTTTCCTCCCTCGTAACAGGCAACACAACTGCACACTTGAAAGCCCAGACAACCAAGAAACTAACTTCTCCCTATTGCTTACCTCAGGTTTTCATTGGCCCCGAACTCACTGAGCCCTCCCAGTTGTTTGGGCTCAGTGTATGTGAACAAGTTAACTAATGCCCACACTTCACTCCATCAGCAGCCACTTAGTTGCATTTGGTGTTTACCTGACAGATGTGCGACTTTACGTTAGTGGGGTAGGGAGGAAGCAGAAGCCCAAAAGTCAGAAAGCTGAACTGGCCTTTCTGTCACAGAAAATGCTGTTTTCAAGCCTATATGTAGGTATCACCTCTAAGTTCTCCACCTCATTAAATGCAGGGCCAGAGCTGACCCCAAAGTGCTCCCCTAGCACAAGGCATTATCATTTGAAGTACTGTATTTACACCTGCTTTAAGCTCAGCCCTTCATTTCTTTGACCCAAACAGAAGGACCAGTAATCATTCCCACTGCACGTGCCCTCCCTCAGCAGTGTATTCACACCCGATTTTCTCTTTCTGGTGGTGTGTGTGTCCGTCCCCCACCCACCACAGTCTCTGGGAGGCCAGGTCCATAAAGCATTCCAGGTGCGTGTCTGCTCACACACAGACGCAAAGAGGTGCACTGAACTCCTCTAGTTCATCTCATACTTACTTTCCATTGGGTAATCTTTGAATTAATAAAACTGGAACAAAAGAAAACCTCACAAATGCACTGGCAGAAAAGACCCTGATAAATGTTTAAATTATTAAAAATCCAATATTTCAGAATGCATAACACAATAAAAAGAGTATGACTACCCCATACAAAAGACTGCTAGGATAAATGGTCTTGCATTGAACAGATTTCCACTGTATGAAATAACGAATGGCTGAATTATCTGAACAAAAAAACCTCTGTGAATCTTCCTTTAAACTGGTTATTCCTCAGGAATACATAAATCTTCTTAGGCAGGGCACTCTGCCATCTGTTTGCTGTTGGTTATTTTTGCAGCTCTGGGGGCTAACGGAAAAGGGGGAAAAATTACTTCTGCTAATAGCAAAACAGAATTTATAGCACGGTTTCAATGCTCAGAAGTAATTTTATTTCAGCAAGCCAGACAAAGCACATAACTACACAAACAAAACATAATATTACCTGGGACAGCTCTGGTGGGGGAAAAGCAAGCTATTATCTAATGGTCTTTTCAATAGCTTGTCCCTCTTCATCCAGATGGTGCAGTGTGCTGTCTGGACTAACCACTGGCTTCCAAACCATCACTGCAAAAAGGCTTTTTCTTGGTTTCTTTCTCTCTCTCTTTTTTTTTTTAAATTTTAATTTTTAAAATCTTACTGATTAACAGCTTCCTTTCTGTTTCTTCTGCTAACCAAAACTGTACCCTAACATTCTTGAAATACAAGACACTGTTAAGTGTCTCAGGAGCTCCTATATAGAGAAAGGAAACTCCCTGGATATACTAGACACTAGCATCTCACAGTGGCCATTTTCTTCCCAGGAAGCAGGAACACTCTTTTTTCTACTTATAATTAAAGAGGCAAAGGATGAAGGAATTACACAGGATAAGAGGGGCAAAGAAGATGATCCCAAAAAACAGGCTCCTGGTAAGATAGAATTTAGGTAGTAAGGCATTTCTAAATAAATAAACAAAAGTCGAAAAAGCCCTAAGAAACAATATTAAATTATCTTAGCCCAAACCAAGAAACCCAACATTCCAAAAAGGGCTAATGTAATCATTAAAGCATGCACAGAAACTCCATGACTGGAATAAATATTTGGGAGGATCCACTTCAGGGTCATTGAAACTCCATCCAAACCCACCCCAATCAAAGAATTGATCTTTACTGAAGTATTATCTTGATGGAGGATAATTGTTACGAGCTCAAGCTGAATACAGACCATAAAGCACATTTGTGCAGAACTACATCCACCTGTCTTCACAGTCACACACAAAGCTGCAAGTAATTCTAAACTCCTAAGTCATGAAATGATGGATAAATCCTGGAGTTTTAGCAAAAGGAAGTTATGAATAAATTTTATATACTGATATTTAAATAAGTAAATGAGGAGACGCTATATGAATTTTGGAAACAGTAAATACGGCCTATGTTTTCTGAACAGAGTAATTATTTTAAGTGTTCAACTTACAGCATCTTCAAGTCCAAGCAGGTGCACGTCTCTTTTTTTAAACTACTACCACAATAAGTATCTGAAATTGCAACCTTAGGAAGTAAGACACTGAAAAGCAACAGCAGCTGTTTAAAAGATGAGGTTATTCTGCTTCCCTCTCTTGTAGACACATACACACAAATATACATATACTTGTTAGTCAACACCTACATCAAACTGAGTCCGAGTGTTGCTGGAACTGTTCAAAACACTGTACTCATCTACATGCTGTGCAAAAGGACTTAATGAAAAATGTATGAGTTACTGTACAAAAAAAAATGCAAGTACCTTAGCCTAGTTTTGAATCACTCCAAACTACCCAATAGCGGTGAACCAAATGAAGAAGGATGTTTCTCTGCCACCAGCCCAGGGCTGATGCTGTTAAGCAGGTTTCTGGAGGAAGGTCACTGCTGAAAGGTTACTCACCGTTACCTGTTGAACTGTTCACCATGTTAGGTGCCATGCTGTAAGGAGGAGCCTGTGGGTTCATCAAGCCAGAGCTGTTGTTCATCGGCTGAGTGTAGGGGGAGCTGGATCCCATAATACCACTCTGATTCATGGCAGGAAAATTGCCTTGCCTAGGAGAAGAAAAGAGCACACATACAGTATCTCGTTACGTACCTCATTGCTGAAGATGCTGTGGTTTTTCACAGTACATAACCTATTGTTTGTCAATAGCTAAGGAGAAAAAAAGCACACAGTTAGTTGATTTTACCTACATGGGGAGCTCTGAATTAGTCTTGAACTTACCATATATCTGAGATAGAACTGAACTGAAGGCTAATGTATACAGTGTCTTTATATGGCACTACCAATCAGTAGAAAAATACAACTCATATTATGTACCCTACGAGTAGACAGCAATGTGATCAGGAGTCAAAATTAGAACCTAGCATTGGCATAAAAAAATAAAATCCAGTGAATTGCCATTTTGACCATGTAATAGCAATCCTTACCTGCCACAGCTTAATAAACAATGAAATGACCAGAAGAAAAATGGGTACCACAGACTCAGTTTCCAATTCCTGTACCTGATGTTATTGCACTGAACAGTGTTCATTTGTACATGCCATCTACGTCCAAGCTTTCAAAAAACTACGTACATACTACACTTTGTTGAAACAAGTAAGATCAGCAGAACTATGTTGCTTTTGAAAATTAATCTCACATATTTGTATAATGCTTTTGTAACTGAGACAAATTTGTCTGAAAAACTGCCCTAGATGAAGCCCTTAGGTAATTCTCCATATGTTCAGATATGAAGATCTTCGGACCAAATATATTTAAAGACTAAAACATATCTACTTTTAAGTTCTAAAAAGTATCTAAGTAAGTTTGGCACTTGATTTATCAAATTCTATAGACAAATTGAGGCATAAGGAAGAAAATAATACAATCCAAGTAAGCAGAATAACCCAATGTAATGCAGGATTCAAGTTCAAAAATAACCTTTCATTATTTTAATCCATAAAGCAATTACCTACCTTGTCTTAGTACAGTTGGAGATTGCACATATTGTCATATGTATAGGAGTAAGACTTATAAATCCATATATATAGATAAAAACACATGCAAAAATATACTTACTTGCATATTTATAGACAACATGGGAAAATACAAAACTCAGAGCTATTTCTTCAATGTACCCCCTGTAAATTTATGCTTTTTTCCAAATAAAAGAAACAAGAAAACCAACACCCATTTATACAGCTTTAGCACCTGACAGCTATTATTTCCTTACAAAACAAAGCATTTAATTTTATCCTACAGGCAGGGAAAGCTGCATGCCCTGGTAGCAAGATGGAAGTTTTGGTATAAATTCTACTTTTAATTATTATACAGTATTCAAACAAAAAGGCAACCCCTAAACCAAGAACCCTGAGTAACTACAATGGCTTCTTGTCTTCTCTAAACTCATGGCAGATTCTTAAGGCAACCGGTAGAAACAGATTTCTTTTTTAGGAGGTACAGGAGGAAGACCATTAAAGCACTATTTGGCCTAATTTTTCTTGACACATTGTGAATTTCTTCAAAGGCAAAGAGAACGTGTTATCTAAATAAAGCATCTTTTTCCAAGTCAGTTTTGTCCTTTGCTCTCTGAAGACAAACTTTTCTTCACTCTTGCAAAGAGGCAAAGGCTTTCTTTTGATATGAAGGAGACAACTGCCATACAATGTCATTTCCCTGATGAAGCTTGCAACGAGAAGTGGAGGGAAAAGATTTAAAATGCACAGTGGTGCAATGCTCCAAGGGAAAATTACAAAGGGAAAAGAGAAGAGGAGAACCATTTGGCAACAACTTTAAAAGATTTCAGTCACACAATCAAGCTTTTCTTATGTAAATACTGTATCTTAAACATCCCCACCCCCCTTTTTTTAGCTGAAAATTGCTATATTTCCACAAATGCAGTTAACTAAAAAATTCTTTTTATGCTGGATAAGTGAGATCCTTTCCATTTCTGGGTAAAGTTACTAGCGAAGATGAACAAAATGTGCAAGTGTATTTTTACACTTTGAAAAAAGAAGTAATAGATTTTGAGAGGTTCTTTTATGGAGTAAGGCTGGGATTCTGCAAAAAGCAAGTCTCTAAAGGTATCTATCTCTTCAATGTCTTTCTTGTGCTTTAGAAATACACAGGAGATATGCACCTTGCAGGTAAGCTGAAATTGGTCCTTACCTACTAATATTTCAATACTATTACTTCCTATAGCATGTGTATCTTCTAAGCTGTGGGGCTGTTCATTGTCTCAAATTGAGGTACAACCTATTGCATGTTACCCACTATGGACATCAATCTCAATTGTAGCTCATGAAAGCATACTGCTGTACAACAGCTTTAAATCAAAAAGTAGGAAACTATTTCCAGTTTAGATGGGGAGTGGAAATTAAATAAAAAGAATATACTAGCTCTGGCCTGGACAGCAAGAAAACAACTGAAGTCTAAAAAATTGCTTCTGTACCCAGAAGGACCTGAGTGGCAGAACCTAATTCTGAAATTTCATCTGGCAAGGCAATACCTTTCCCTTTCATCCTCCTATGTTATGTCACACTTGGAACGGACACAGCTCTCCATCACTGGAAAGAACCCAGCGAGAGAAAATAGTCAGTACCATCCCTGGCAGGACTTTGTCCCCCCCTGGCCCCTTAATAAAGCACTGACCACAGCATATGTGAGCTAATTCAGTAACACTGAAGGCGACATCCTGTAAGAGTAAATGTTATTTCATCCTGAGATTGGGTACAGTGAGCAGTACAGAGCTCCTCCACATATTATTCTGCTCTATGATGGCTTGGAATGGAAAGTTTCTTTAGGGAGAAATAATCAGGTATTACTTCAGCCTTTAATTCTCACTCCACAGTGGGCCTCCTTTGAGTAAAGACTGCCGACTGTGACAAATTGTGCTGCATCAGAGCTATAATATGAAGTGGAGTCCATTAAGAACTGAGCTGAGATCACCAAACTCATTTTGATTAACCTCCAGGTCACTAAACACTTATAAATATGTTACACAGCAGCTGCTAAACATATTTATATATGCTTAAGGTCACAGCATCATCTGTTGGTTGTTGGAGTTAAGTCAAAAATCTTATGTTTCCTTCTGTGCTGCTTTTAGTACAGGCATTTCCAACACACTATTTAAGAAGTAGATATCTCAAAGCATGCTACCAGACTCTCTCCTACATCTCCCAGTGTTCTCCTCCATTCTTCTGAGAGGCTAAATAAAAATCAAACCTTTTAAAAACAGTCTGCTTTACATGTAGTGACATCTAATGGCAAAAATTCAACTGACCACCTACGAATTCTATAGCAGAACAAACCCAGTTAAGTATACGCTTTTACAATACTTGCCACATAAACACCAAAGGCTGGATTGCTTAGAGATGATGCAATTAGGACTAATAGGAAGAAATTAAGAAAAGAAACACTTATTTTGAGTATAATGAGAAAATGTCTTCACGGTGAGATGCAGTTGCCCTCCAAGGCAATGAAGGAAACGCCAGCAGTCAATAATTCTGCACACAGGCAACATGTTAGAGAATGTACTGGCCAGAGAAATCCTACATTGCATATGAACTACAAGACCTGCTCTTCCAACACTGTGATCTCAGATCATGTATTTTTATAAGAAAAAGCAGCCAGGCCAATACAAATGCAGGATTATGCTATCAATCTAAACACAACATATAAGCCTATATGTTTCTTTTTTCTGCTCTACTGCTACAAGTAGATCTTCAAGAATTCAGCAAATGGAAGAAACTAAAAGTGGGAAGGGGGGAATTTGCTTGCTTTCTGTGGTTTATTTACTCTGTTGACAATTTAGCAATGCATAGCACTTGCATAATGCCAAGAGCCAGTTGTTATGCTTGAGGAAAGGGCTGCCACCTCAGGGGACCTAGACAGGCTGGAGGAATGTGCTGACAGGAACCTTATGAAAGTCAACAGGGACAAGTGCAAGTTCCTGCACCTGGGAAGGATGAGCTCCCTGCAGTGGTGCCAGCTGGGACTTGACTGGGGGCAGCAGCTTTGCTAAAAAGTCCCTGAGCATCTTGGCAGACGGAGCTGAGCATGAGCCGGCTCACTACCCTCACTGCAAAGAGGGCCAACAACATCCTGGGCTGTGTGACTAGGTACAGAGCCAGGAGATGGAAGAAACTGACCATCCCCTCCTTACTCAGCACTCATTAGACTCCATCATGTCCAGTTTTGGAACCCCCAGTAAAGAAAAGATGATGATAAACTGGGGTGAGTTTATCAGAGGACCCTTTAGATGGTCAGGGCTTGAGCACTCACCCTGGAGGGGCTGAAGGATGAGGGCTCATTCAGCCTAGGGCAGAGACAACTGTTGAACATACAGCAGCCCCACAGCACCTAAAAGAGGTCAACAAGAAGATGAAGCTTGGCTTTTCACAGTGGGGCACAGTGGGAGAATGAGACACACCGGGCAAGTACTAAAACATGAGAAGTTCAGACTGGATGTATTTTCCCAGTGAAACAGTAAAGAGACTAGATCCAGTGGCCCAGAAGGGTTGAGCAATCTCTGCCCTTGGACATTTTCAACATTCAGCAAGAGAAAGCCCTGAGCTGCTCCTGATGGGGAGACGGTTGGAATAGAGACCTCCTGAGGTTCCTTACAGCCTGAATGATCCTATGATCTTAGCCTGTCTCCTTCATTGTGCTGTTGATAGTCTGGTGTACTACTGGGTCCAAAATACAACTGATCAAATTCAAAACATTCCCTTTTAAGCAGGTCCTGTTCTGCTCTTTTGTTTTCCTTCATTTGCAGTCTACCCAAAGCTTAATCTGCACTTAATCTCTTTTCTCTGCAAAACAAGTAGCATCAGATCTAATTGTGTCTTCTGAGCTAATGCAGAAGTCTGTGTATTTAAAAAGAGGAGATGACATGCAAGATCTGGTCATCGTTACAAAGTAGAACAAAGAAATTGTAAGAAAGAACAGCACTGACAATACAAAGGAGCACATGAACGATCACAGCTGCTGAGCAGTGTCTCTTATACTGAGATGTCTTCCTTTAATTGGACCTGAAATCCCCAGTAAGTTCATGTGTTGTCTCTGACTC